AATGTAAAGAGTAGAAAGTACAAATAATTCTGTGAAAATATAAGGAGTAGAAGTAAAAAGTAGGCTGAAAAAGAATTACTCAAGTAATACAGATACACAAAAATCATAAGTTATTTTAATAATTGATTGTGTTTTAACTATCGGTTGTGTTAAGTCATTGCTAAGATTATTATAATGCTATGATGCATTTCAAGTTCAAAAACCATTTATGCAGGTAAAATAATTGTTTTTTTCTTACATTATTTGCTTTAATTATTCTTTTATGAAGTGTGCTGCTGACCTTTACCCAGGTCACTCCTGATCCCAGCAGGTTTTTATCTGGTTGAACAAAAGTGATGGGTGAATTATTTTTTTAATCCAAATAACAGAAATAGTAAAGTGGGAATAAATTAGTACATAACAAGACAGTATAGTGTTTTCAATACAGCACTCGCATGCAAAGCAAATCTCTTGGGGCAGTCAAAGGCATTGGGATGTTTAGAGTTAACATCAAACATGCAGATTTAACAGAATCAAYGTGCAAAACCAAACAAATGGATGCACATATGTTCATTTAGTCAGTCTAACATTGTATAAACATATGAAACTTTTCAAGGCATTGTCAAGTTTTGCTTCATCTGAAACTCAAGGTTGTATTTATGCTGCTGAGTGTAAGCTAGAGCAGTAAAAGAGCCTAGAATAWCAACAAAACTACAGTATATCTGACATTAAACTGAACACTTAAATTTGAACCTGTTTGATTTACCCAAGTGAGTAAAAGAAGAAAAAAACTTGTTGCAAAATATTACATGTTAAAAAAACAGTGGTGGGCGCAGCTAACAAAAAAGCTAGCTTTGCTAACCAACAATCTGCTAACTACAAAATTAGCTTTGCAAATGCTAAACTACTAAACAGGTAGAAAATGAATGAAATCTAACGTTAACTTTGATCTCAAGATTTGTAATTTAAACATAGATGTGTGATATCCACAAAAATGTCAGTATATTGGTTAAAAGCTCATAAAACATTTCTTCTTCCACGAAACACAGATAAAATTTCGAGCAGTTGAATTYGAAAATGCTAAAGATGCTACACGCAAACACAAAGCATGTGTTGCAGGCGTGCAGCGCTACATGTGTCAGGGGACAGWTGTTTTTGTTAGTGGACTTTARGTTAGCACTCATTTTAGCAGAAGCATAATTGGTTCGTTAACAGTTTCTGAAGTTAGCGAAGAAGCTAATTCAGAAAGTTAGCTTTGCTATTAGTTGTTAGCGAATTAGTGGAGCTGTGCCCACCACTGCAAAAAACTAAAACAGAAAATTGGAGTAAGCATGTTTCAGGCCACCAAATAAATGCCAAAGGTATTTTTTTCCCCTCATGTCAAAGAATTTAAAGGTAATGTACGTACATGAAATAAGGGAGTATTAACAGATGTGACATACATGCAACAAGTTACTAAAGTTGTCAAATAACTCATCAAGAAATGCTGAATTAAGGCCATGCAGTCAAACATTTAASAACAAAAAGACAGTTTACATTCAGGAACATGATTATGCTCCAGACTACATTCATTTCTGTGATGCGCCACAGTGTTTACTTCATATTTTTGTTTAGAAAAAGGCATTTCATTGGGCCTTTACTGTGACCTATGAGGCCCTCTTTGGTTTCAGTTTCTGATGTGTGAACACAAACAGGRGCGATGCCCTTCAAAAACACCAACATGACTCCTGAGTTCAGCACAGTGATGTTTGGCAGAAGCAGGTAGCTGACAAAAAAAGGTTTCATTTCCTAGTTARTTTGGGGTGGTGGTGCTTGTCTTAGATATATAATAAAAATCAGCGTGAGCCATAAAAAAGCTCTACTTTTTCCCTGCAGACGTTGTGTTTGCATCTTTGTTTGTGCTGCATCTTAAAGCATCACTGCACTCAGACTTTGACCCAAACTTTGCGTTGTTAACGTGGTTCACTTTCCCCGTTGTCTCCGGCAGTTGTGTGGTTTCCGCCTCGTCACTGGACTTAGTGTTCTGACCCGGGTCGGTACTCTGACTGGACAAGGAGACTCGGCACATCTGCTGGCTGGTAAAGCAGAGCTCCTGCCACTTCTCCCGATTGGCATTTATCCCGTCCACCATCGGCTGCAGTTTCCTGTTGAGCTTCAGCAGCGCCTGGGAGAGCCAACAGGGAGCATATACTGTAGCAGGCAGTTCAGAAGTTTACAGATGGTTGTTGTGTGAATGCTGAGTCAGCATTGATGCAGGATTTTTTTCTCATTTTTATTTTTTCATACTTTTATTTTTCAATCTGCTTACTTTGTACTATTTTAGCCATTTATGTATCAAAGTATTCAGCTCATTCAGGAGATGGCTAATACGGTTTATTCTTTACAACTAGTAGCTTAGTTGTAGCTTGTTTTTGCTTTTCTTTCAACTGCTTCCTTCTGCAGGGGTCGCCACAGCCACTCACTTTATTAATTAGGCAATTGTTTTACGCCGGATGTCTTTCCTAATTTAATCTGGGCTTGAACTTTCACCTCACATCAGAAGACTTTGATACTGACCAACAAGATACTGGAGCCCCTATTGTTTGTAACTTTTATACTACTTAAGATATTTGATTTAATTTACAAATATTTTACCCATGGAAAAACACTGAAATGTCTTAAATTCCTGCTGACAGGAATTCAGTAAACTGACTCTATTTTTTGTATTCTTATGCTATTTTTAGTTTATAGGTAGTACATAGTACATTCCTACTTTTTAGTTTGCCTTTTGTTACTACAAGCTTGTAGCTAAAATTATTGCTATTTTGTATTTCTAGCCAGCCATGTTTAGTTAGTGTTTTGCTATTTGTAACATTTAACTAATCTTTAGCTACTTTTACGTATCATTTGGCTAATTTTAATATTAGGTTAACATTTTATGTTTTTTAGCTAGTGTTTTGCTACATTTATCATTTAGCTAGTCCTAAGCTACTTTTAGCTATTCTTGTGGTTTTTGGCATRTATTTTGTTACTTTTAGTRTTTAGCTATTMTTCAGCTACTTTTAGCAAGTTTTTKCTAAATTTGGAATTACGCTAACATTTTGTGTTTTGTTAACTTTAGCTRTCCTTCTGCTATTTTTAACTTCTGCGTTGCTACTTTTAGCTTAACTGTTGTCATTTTTACCTTTTAATTATTTTTGTAGTTTTTAGCTAGTTTTATTTTAAGCTACGTCTTTGCTGCTTTTAGCTTCTAGCTCCCATGTTGCTACCTTTAGCTAACATTTTGTTACTTTTATTCAACATTTTGCTAACTTTTTGCTGTTTCTAGCCAGTGTTTTCCTCCTTTTATCTTTTAGCTAGCCATAAGCTAATTTTATTTTTTAGCTRGCATTTTGCATCTTTTAGCTTGTGTAGTACTTCTTTAGGCTACARAAAATGAGCAATTTCTGTTTTGAATTAGAAGCTGAAAGTGTTGCTTCAGCTGCTCTCACCTGATAAAGAGGTTTACAGATCCCATCAATCCATTCYAGCTGTAAGGCAGGTAGTTCATCTTTACGATTACGATCAAAGATGGCCTACAGAGAAACAACAGCCTTCTGTCATATGGGATARATCTTGTGCCAGCAGGAATTGAATTTGAATTGCTCYGATTGAATCTGAATGTGCATAATYTGTGATCTGTGTTTGATTACTCTGCCTGGCTTTCTCAAGGACCAGGATGTGACACAAAAATCTGAATTWTGGAACTGAAAKTGAAAGTAGTCAAACTGAATTTTTAATAAACCAAAATASAGTTTCAAAGCAAATTAATTCAGATACAAAACTTTAAATTCAKTTTCAAACCATTAAATTCAGTTTCAATTTAGTGAAATTTATTTTCAAACCAATGCATTCAATTTGAAATTATTTACATTCAGATTCAATCTGAGCAATTCAAATTCAATTCCTGCTGGAACAAGATTTATCCCATACTGTCACCTCTCAGATTACTCATCTTAAATATTTACCATAAGCCAGGCTGAATTAATTAATTTTTTTTCTACCAGCATGCTGTTAACAGATTATAGAACTGAACATCTTAGAAGAGACTTTGAATTGTTTCTTACGGCTGGGGTTAATTTAAGCTCAGACCTCTCCCTGTCTCCTTGTTCAAAGAATTCACTCGTCACCAGCTCTGCAACCTGCAGACATCAGTGGAAACAAACCTTGCGTGGTTATTTCACTCAGACATGACGCAACTGTTTCATGTTTGAACTGACTTATGCTGGTCTACACTTAGATTTATATGAAGTCAAACAGTGAGGGAGGATCTGTTTTTGGCCTTTGGTCTTACTCTGAAGGGGTTTTATTAAAGGGTTGTAAGTTTTAATTTTTTTAAATGTTGTGTGATGCAAACAAACATGACTGACAGCTTAAAAAATAGCAAAACAAAAAAAAATCACGATATTTCTAAAAATACACAAAACAAAACAAGAATTTTTTGTCAATTAGTTTGGGGCAGGAAAGCATAAACAGTAACAAGGATGGAAAACTTTTAAATCTTCTGCTCAAACCATGCCAGTTTCAAATTAAAAGTAAGCAGATTAGTGGATTAGAGAGATAACTGGGATTTGGTGGTCTCTAAGCAAACAAAACTCACTTAATTGGAGTTTATTTAGCAGCTTTAGGAGGCTTACATGCTTGGTCACATCCCTTTATCTTTTAATTGGTTCAGATCAATGCAAATTAGATTTTTTTTGACAGATGAAATGTTAAAAATAACAAAAACAAATAGCATTTTTATGAATCTATCAGTTTTGTTTGCCTAATATCTAAAAACATATGCATTTACTAAGAAGCTCAAACGTGTTAGGTTTGTGAAAATCACTTAAACCTGTTTCGAAATCTTCCACGGACGAGTGACGGCTCCCAAATCACACGCAGTCATCAACATAGACCTGAGGATAAAAAAAAAGTTTGTATCTTTGTTTTATTCTTTATAGCTGAAGTGATTATTTTGAGTATTTCTGGCCCAAATAAAGAAACCTGAGAAGCCCTCTGTGTTCTTCAATGCTCCAGCTGAATTCACTAGACAGAACGTGCTCAAAAAACTTTGTTCTGCGCCTTTAGGTTTAAGGAGACAAACAAGCAAAATGTTATAAAGTAGAACGATAGCACATATTTAAACCACATCCTGTTATACAAACCAACTGGAAAGACTTACTCAAAGTGCAAAGTAAGGTCTGTCGAGAGAATTGCCTGCTTTAATATTTGCATCATGTTGCTGTATTCTTTGGAGCTGAGGTTTGCAAAGATATTGTGACCCTGCAAAACAAAAACAAAACAAAAATCTACACAAGTAAACTAAGAAAAGCAGGGGAGTCTAAAATGTTGCCTGCATTGGTAAAGCCATCGCTCACTGTCCGATGAAGCTCCCATTAGCAGTTTTAATTAGCAGTGTGCACAGACTCTCTCTGTCCTCTGTTAGAAGAAATCAATACAGAATACTGCTGGTGATCAAACTGATCCCCCACCTGAAATAAAGAACCCCCTCTGGATGGAACTAGGTGCTTATTGGTGTTGCCTGTCAGCAGTTTGTGTACATCCCATAAAAACAAGGGCTTTACGTTAGCTCACTGATCTGTATAATGGTGTTGAAACACTTTTTGGTGAAAGAATGCGTATCTGCAGCCACATGAAACAAAGTTTTACAAAACATGTCACATAATCTGTTAGCACTCACTGTATGAGTTGGKGGATGACTCTCAGTTATGAATTCCACAGTTGAGAGGTTATGGTCATGTTTTTGTTTTCTGTTTGATTCACCTTGTTTATCAGGATATAATCTCACTGTTTGATGAACAACTACATCCTATAAAATTTACTTTATCAACTATAATCTATAGCAGTGGTGGGCACAGTAAACCAAACATTTAGCTTCACTAACCCCTAGCTAAAAAATTTCCTACGCAAAAGCTAAACTGCTTAACGGGTAGGATAATTAGTGGAAGCTAACACTAATCAATAACCACTAACTCAAGGTCTGTAATCAGAGCTGTATTGCCTCTGAAGCGTTAAAACCCTCGGGATAAAACTGTATAAACTAAGTCCGAGATTCTTAACCTATGGGCTGCGTGCTCCACCTTGAGGGCCTCAAAAGAACAACAGTTTTTAACTTTGGGCTGCAGAGGGCCGCAGGACCACATTGATTTTGAATAAGGTGCAAAACACTTTCTTACCACTAGTAGCGATAGTGCGCCACTCAGATGTTTAACAACTTTTTTTAATACGTTTATGAAGAACTTTATATACCAGCCAAAAATGGAAACCTATTTTAAATGAGAAGTAGAAGCTAAAATGAAGGCAACCCGTCAAAAAAAAAAATCTAAATTTGTCGCTAATATGAAGAGGAGCTTCTGGTTCTACCATGCAATATTTTAAAAGTTCAAACAATTATCAAAAAACAGTTGCATATACAGTATAGCTATATTTTAATTTGCACTTCAAAAATAAACTACAGAAATTATTTTGATAATTTTTTTAAATGTATTTTAAAGAAACTTTAAACTTGTCAAAAAGCTGTTATTAATGTTTGTCACTAATATGAAGAGCAGCTTCTGGTTCCACCATGCAAAAGTTTAAAAAGGCTTTATTTTCATTAGCACTTTATCDAATTTATTTTTATAGGGTTTTTTTATTTGAAACATTTACATTAAACATTTTGAATGTATTTATTTTATGACCACAATTTTATTTATTGAACTGTCTATTTTTTGTTATTGTTTATATAAAAAAT